AAATTTTAAAGATCTAAATATTCTCAGACTTATGTAAAGTTTTTTCAAAAACTCATAATCAAAGTTTGGATATGGATGTTTAAAGGGAATATTACTTATTAAATTTCTTATTTCTTTTCCTACATTATTGTTTATAGAAATTATTGGAAATTCTTCTATAAAAATATTATCTAATTCACTAATATAATTTACAAACACATCGGGTAGAGTAATTAAGGTTCCATAAGTGGATTAATTTTCATTATGGTAAGCCTTAAAATATGTAAAAAAAATAAGATTCATCTAACTGATTTTTAAATTTAACATCACTAATACATATACCACAATTATGTTTTTCTAGTGATTTCTTAATTAGATAGTCACATACATAAATAAGGGAATTTATAACAGGAAAACTTAAATTATGGTAATCAACCATACAAACTAAAGTTTTCAAAATTGTAAGAGTTTTCTCAGGAATAAATGCAATAAGACTTTTTAATGGAGGAACAACATCACTTGAATTAGTTAAAATTTCATCTAAGTCATTCAGACAATTTAAGGTCTCAGACTGTTTGAAAAAATTTTCTGGGTTAGAAAACATATTAGGTTTGAAATGAACATTACAATCCATATAATACTTATTTAATGCAATTTGGTAACCATTTTTTATAACTATTGAATAAATTTAAGATTTTTTAGGATATAAGTACTATTTTTATTAATTTATAATATAAATAACTAACCGAGCTAAATCCTTTGGTATTTTAAACATTTTACAATCATAATTTTTGGTAGCAATTCTTGAGTTAATGTAGTTTTTTACAATGCAAACATAAACCATTCTAATTATTATTATATAAATATGGAAAATTAATGAAATAAAATAATTAAAAGTAAAATTCTTATAATATATATTTTCCCTCAACTGGTATTAATTCTTATCATGACAACAAAATGATAATACCAATACCTACAATAAAATGGCTGCTACTTTTTGTTTACATATCGAAGTGTCTATAACCTGCTTCTAAGTGCTGTTTATCCAATTTGTCATTTAATAATCCATACTGTCCTGTATCCAATATCCCATAAGTAGTTACGCCAAACGATATTGATCCCTCCCAATAGGAGAGCATAAATGAATTTCAATTTTTTTGAATTAATTTTCATGATATATAAAATTTCCACTAAATTTTATACCTGTTGTAAGGTTTTTTAAAATCCTTCATAATCTACATATAGCTATTGTTTTATATTCGGTCACCACGCTGTATCAATAATCACTTAGATAAGTGCTTCATCATCTATACCGTGCGTTCATAATTCAGGTCATCCAAGATGTCGATGGTTGACCGAGTCAACCGACATTGCCCTTGTCAGCAACCGCTTATTCAAACGAACCAATAAATTGTCGACGGATTATTTCGCAGTATCTTGTATATCTACAAGACGTTCCCCTTTCGCAGCATTGGGTACGCGCCCAATGGGTTGGCAGGCCACAGAGAAAACTTAACAGTAAACTTATGTTGAAAAGCAACTCAATATATTGTTTTATAAAGTTGTTGAGTATTAACTCTGGAAGTTAAATTTTAAATAATTGAATTTACAGATTCATAAAACCATTTTTTTATTATTATAATTAAATACTCTTTGTGATTTTTTTGTGTTACTAACAACTCAATAATACGATATTACATAGTTAAAAGAACATTAATATTAAAAAAATATCTGTCAATGTACTTTTTTGATCATTTTTTTACTGAAAAAATATGACAATTTGAGTAATTCTAATAAATACCGAATTTGTATTTTATACTTTATACATGTTTATTTCATTAAGTTACTTTATAGTAAACTGATAAGATATCTTGGTAACAATAACTATTTAATATCCTTAAAACAATACGTTTGTATCATCTAAATATTTTTAATTTTAAATTAAAATATATTTATTTAAATATAAAGATTTTTGAGAAATTTAAAATTGAATTCAATAGTCTTCATACTTTGTATTATAGTATTAGTCTAATTATTCAAAATTAATAAATTCTAAAAATTAAAAATTTCTTTATTAAATTATATTTTGATGCCACAATCATAAAGTTAGTAAATATAAATAATTGACCTTCTAAAACTTTCGTGTAATAAAATTATTTATAACATAAATAACACAAAAATGTTAAATAATTATTTTATGTGTTGATTGGATGTTGTATCATTTTTATGATACTACATTAGTATTTAATTTAATTATCTGCTTTGTTAAAAATCTATTTATTTCAATTTTTGGCAAATAAGTATACAAAATTTTAGTTAAAAATGCAGTTATAATAAAATTCATTAATCGTTCTTCGTAAACTATAAGTCAAAATATTAAGGATAATAATTATTATTCGTAATATTTATATATATTATATTCATTAAATTCTTTTTGTTTGACTAACCTGTGATAATAATTCATAACTTGTGGTTCCTGGCGAACACAGCCTGTCCTTAATAAGCGACGATAAACCTTCAAATGAAATTTACTAATTGATAAAATTTATAAAAGTTGAAAGTTAACATAAAATATTTTTTTTCTATTTTTCTGTCGGATTATAGTAAAATTAACTATTCGAATATTGTTTTATTTATGTAATTTATACCTTAGTAACGAAGATATCTTGATAATTATATTTTTTTTAACCACTCATTTTTACTACTTTGAATAATTAATACAATGAACATTAATTTTTTTTTGAAATTTTATTAAAATATTTCATAAATTTAATTATATAACTTGACACTTAAAAATAAGTATTTTTAAGAAAAGGTAGAATGTTTGAATTTAAATATACGATGTATATTTTTTTTGTATCAGTACTACAATGTTAAGGTTTATGGAATTTTATCTCTTTTTTTTACTATTAAAATTAAAAATTTTAATTATTATCCAGTTTTTTTGTTACTAATTTAGAGTAATTTAATGTGTTCATTTATGTTTACATTATACAATTTTTCTCAAACCAATAATTTTTTTAACAATAACTATCAGTAGAGACAAGAAATGGGGTGAATGTGAATTTTAATAATTCTAATATTTTGAACGTATTAATTAATATTTTCAATTTATAAAATAAAAATATTGTTACTCTAATTTCTATGAATGAATGTTTTTGTATGAATAACTTGTTTTTAGATACAACACGTTAAGAGTAGCAAAAATAATAATAAGTGGTAGATCCATCCAGCATAGTATAGAATATATATATATATATATATATAGGGCCGGACTTCCACCTAGGCAAATTAGGCAGTTGCCTAGGGGCCCTTACCTCTTTGGGGCCCTCGGCTAAGTACCATAAAAAAAAAAAAAGACGTCATACAAAATGAATCAACGCGTAGAAATGATGTTACACTATATTGTTTTTTATGTATACTTTGATAATGTGTATCGGAAGCGTATGTATACATTTAGTGGTGCTTATCAGTGATAATTTTGTCGTTCGATTATATTTATATCCATAAATACCCTTATGACTGATTTTATCTTTACAATGAACGCAAAGTTATGGTATAAATAAAATATTTCATAGGTTTTTATTTTAAATAAAACGATTTAGGTTTTATCTATTTTAAAAGCCAGGCTTACGATTATTACCATTTCATTTTCTTTTGCACTCTGGTCGCTTTAACGTCTCTTGACAAGTTGTGAGAGTACAATTTTTCAGTTGTTAATTATAATTTATTTTCATTCCTTATACCTTCAAAAATATTTTAGCTATAAAAATTACATGATAATTTTATAGTCTGTACAGTAGTTTAATCTATCTATTTCATCTAAGTCGAAGGTGATTATTTTGATTTAAACAAAATTAAAGTTTAAACTTTTATATTGTACTGAAAAAATGTACTACCTATGGTAAAATTCAAATTTTAACAATTATATCTATTAATTTAAGCTGTAGAACATTGTTTTCAATTAGATATATTTCTTTAATTTTAAATGACATTAGGCTAAGATGAACTGGATAAATTATAAACAAACGTATTAATATGCGGATTTTAACAATAATTAATTCTTTGAAAAATGTATTCATGTAGCTTAAATCTAAAATATTTTGATACAATTGAAAACAATTAATTATACCATATCTATATAAATTTTTTTTTTAATTATGTAAATTTTTCCAATAATTTTTATTTTTATACTAGAATAAACATTAACTGAATAAAATGTAATTCGACCAGAGTAATTTTTAAATTTTTTTTGTCTGCGTTATTCAGTGTATATTACTGAATTACAATAAGTATATGTGTGGGAGATTCGTATTTCAAATTTTCTATCTTGATTATTTTATGTAATTTTGAATAGCACGAAATTGATGCGTAGGAAACGTATTAAAATTGTAATTAAATTGGTAATTAACAAAATATGAAATACTTATAAATGTCTTTTTGGTGAATTATTTTAAGGTAGACGTTTTGAAAATGTATAACACCAACAAACCGTTGAGTGGATTCCAAAAAAGAAAAAAGAATTTTGAGAAATTGCAGAAAGAAGAAGAGCTTCTTCGTAAAGTTCCTAAATTGCATTCGTTTTTTTTACCTCTTCTAGACTTAATACTTTAAATGAACTTGTATCGAATGACTGCAGTGAAGATCAACAACCAGAAAATATATGTGAAAACGAAGAGTTACCTCAAAATTTAATATCCGAAAACATTACAACTATAAATGATGCTGGATGATGCTACAATTGAATACCTCGTTCAAAATGGTGTTCAACAGAAAATGGACACTGATTTTTCTTCTTCAAAACGTCAGTATACAGATACTACCAGGTAGCTATCCCTATGACTTTTCTGTCGGACATTACCTAATGGCGAAATACAAGCTCGGCCTTGGTTAATATTTTCAAAGTCTAAAGGGACTGTATTCTGTCCCCTTTGCAAAATTTAAAAAAAATCGAGTACTTTAGCTAATGATAACTAACTTTAGCTAAAGGGTATAACGACTGGAAAAATGCAGGTCAGAGAATGAAAGAACATGAAAACTCAGACGACCACAGATATGCATGTGCAAAACTGTTGGCCAGAAAGAACGCTAGTGGTAGGGTTTACAAAGGACTTGTCATTCAAATGGAAGAAGAAATTAAATACTGGCAAGAGATTTTGAGGCGTGTTATGGCCGTTGTAAGATCACTGGCTGTACGTGGATTGCCATTTAGAGGTTCGCAGGAAAAATTTGGATTGAGAAATAGTGGGAACTATATTATGTCTCTAGAACTTTTAGCTGAGTTTGATCCTTTTCTAAACGCACACATCAAGCGTCATGGAAATAAAGGATGCGGCACAACATCATACCTTTCGTCTAAAATATGTGATGAAATTATTGACATCATGGCTAAAAAGGTCATTAGTACGATTGTGACCGAAATAAAACAAGCCAAATATTTTTCTATTTTTGTAGACTCGACTCCTCATATCTGCCACGTAGAACAGCTTTCGTTCATAGTGCGATATGTATCTAAAAAAGAATGTCCCGTTGAACGATTCATAAGATTCATACCAAAATGTGGCCATAAAGCTGAAGACATAGTCACAATTGTTCTCGATACATTGAAAAATTATGACTTGGATATCGCTGATTGTCGCGGACAATCGTATGATAATGCAAGCAACATGGCGGGTGCATATTCGGATCTTAAGGCGAGAATAAAAGAAGTGAATGCTTTGGTACTTTTTGTCTCTTGTTCAGCTCACCCACTAAATCTGGTAGGATCGTGTGCTGCTGAATGTTGTGAGACATCTATATCTTTTTTCAGTAACTTGCAGGCATTGTACAATTTTTTTTCGATCTCGACACACAGGTGGGGAATTTTAATATTAAGACTAAAGCAGAACTCAAAAGTTCTAAAAAGTCTTTCTCAAACTAGGTGGTCTGCTCGAGGTGATGCTTGTAAAAGTCTTTGTGTCTCCTGGAATGAAATCATGGCAGTTCTTAAAATCATCACTTGTGACATGAGTGAAAAACCATCAACGCGTTTTGAAGCTTCGGGTCTTCTTAATCACTTTGACTCACTAGAAATGTGTTTTCCGACTTTACTGTGGAATGACGTTCTAGAAAGATTTAATAAAGTAAGCAAATCTCTGCAATCTATAAATATTGAACTAAGCACTATTGTTAAACTTTATCACTCTTTAGTTATATACCTTGAAGGTATACGAAAAGACAGTACATTCGATCTATATGAATTAAAATCTATAGGATTAAATGGCGAACAAAACTATGCATATGATTTAAAAAGAAAACCTAAACGAAAAGTCTAGTTTGATGAAGTGAATAGAAATGATGTCAAACTTACAGGCAGGAATAAATTCAGAGTAACCACCTACAACATAATTATTGACAGGTTGATTGCAGAACTCCTAAGACGTGGAAGAGCTTATGAAAAATTAAGTAAAAAGTTTGACATTCTTACAACGCTAATTAGTTTGAACACTCAAGAAGTCTGCGAAGGAGTAAAACTCTGAACAGCTTTCATCCAGGGGATTTGGACGAGAATATGAAGAACGAGTGTTTACATTTACAGGCTCATTTGTTGTCCACAGAAGCTACGAGAGAAAGAAATATGTCATCACTGGAACTATACAAATTTATCCTAGAAAACTGCTTTATAGACATTTATCCAAATATTGGAATATCACTTAGGATGTTGTTAAGTACACCAGTGTCAAACTGCTCAGCAGAACGGTCATTTTCAACCCTTAAGAGAATTAAAAATTATTTGAAAGCCAATATAGAAGATAATAGACTTAATTCACTCTCTGTATTATACATTAAGTCAGAAATAATGCAAACAGTGGACTACAGTGAAATCATACATTCTTTTGTAGAAAAAAAAGTTCGCCGTGTAAAAATTTAATTTTGTTATTTAAAACTTATGTATGTAAACAGAATTGTTAAAAGTTATAACGAAAACATTGTTAATTTTTTTTTCATAAATCTGTTCTTCTATAATACGTAACACATATACATATACTTATTTTATAATATTATAATATAATAATTTCTTATTCAAGTATGTTGATATTTGACTATTTAACTAAAAGCGGTTTTTTATTATTATTATATTTTTAAAAGGGCCCTTTTTAGTAGCTGCCTTGGGGCCCTGAGACACTTAAGTTCGGCCCTGTATTAATTACAATTAAAAAAACCATTAATTATAGTACTGAAATATTAGTGATTCGTTTTACTTTATCGAATGTTTATTTTTATAACAATTAAATTGAGGTGTTAATATTGTAATAATGAGCTTTTTAAATTTTGTAATGAATTTAGAATAGAATTATAATATATTGGATACAATTTAGTTGATCATACATTTGAAAAAAAAAAAATGATTGAATTTGTTTAATGTTTATTTGTAGTTTAATTAAGCCAGCTTTGTTTTCCATCCTATTTGATTTAACTTCATAATAATTAAAAAAATTAATTGTCTCATCACTACTTGATTGTATTATACATAAATTATATTTTGTGGATGCTTTTGCTTATATATTTTGAACACTATTTAGACTTTTTTTTATGTTTTATAAAATGTTATTTATACTAGTATATTGTTAATCTATTCGGCAACAGAACACTCTTAACGTTTGATAAACAAAATATCCATTTAAATATAAAATACTAATGGCAAATTTTACATTTGACATAAGTATATTTGTGTACAAACATAAGTAAAATAAATATAAAACCACAAATTATTAATGAAGTATAAACAGATTTCTTATTTATGAAAATTAATTATTTATTAATATGTCTATATTGCAAAAAATATTTTTTCACTAAAAACATAGAAATTGAAAATAAAATAAAACAAACGGGATAAATTATTAAAGACAAGCGACTAAACATTCTTTATCGGTATCAAAACAGTTATTATTGCCAAGGAAACCTCCATAAACAAACTTAATGTAAGTTTTTGAATTTTTGAATCTAATGAATACTTTTCAAAATAAGACGTATATGCAAATTGTTTGACTTTTACTTCAGGAGGTAACATGCAATAACATAAAAAGTTTATAATAACTAATTATTTTCTGTAATCTTTATTACAGTTACAATTATTATAATCAATATAATAAATAAATGATTATAATTATTTGTAGTAAATAATATTACTCAAAATAGTATTACAAGAAAATTAATTAAATTAATTTTTTTTTTGTAATCTTAATTCTATAAACTATAAAAAATGTCAATATTATAATTTGAAGATAATATATTTTTTAATTTATAAATAAAATTTACTTTTTGTATAGGTTTGAGAAGGTGAATCTGTTAAATCTTCATAAGTGAACACAAATAAAAAATCAATTGATAAAAAATTAGAGATGGGCGTTATATTTAAAACTAAAATGAAATCAAGTATGTTAAGTATAATGCTATACTTTAAATAAATTTGAAAGGTTGAGAAGTTATTAATTTTACAATGATTTTTTTTTTTTATGTGCTGTTATCACTTTTTCTAAGCTCTCACCGAACCGATTTCTTTTAACAATGCGTCAAAAAATCAAAAATCGTATCTAGTCGAAGACATTACACTCAAAAATTAAAAAAAATTCTCTCGTTTCCGGTAAAAGGAGGAAATCTCCACAAAAATTACCAATTGAAAAATCGTTAATTTTCGACATTTTTTCAATTTTTTTACTTAAAACTGCCATAACTTTTTGAAAAATATATGAATAGACACAATTTTTTTTAATATATCATTAGATATTTACATATAATTAGGTATATACAGAGTGATTTTTTTATCATAACCCACTCAATTACTTACAGAATAATAATAAATTAACACATTTTTTTTTCAATTATCTTTAGTTACACATCATTCTTGAATTATTAACTATGTAATACTTTTTAATTTCATCCCTTATGCCTGGTAAGGGTGTCAACTTTGTTTTTTCAAATGGTAACACATATTTTGAATTTAATAAAATGTTTGAGTTTTTAATTTAATAGTAAATGGCATTTGAATTTTTAATACAACTTAATTCGTTTATTAGATATAATCATTTAAAGTTTCAAATTTTTTAGTAAATATACTAACTGACAATACAAAAAATATATCTATTGATAGTCATAATTTATAATAAACAATCCGTGACTGTGACAGTAATGTCATAAAAAACTAATTAGCTGCCTATATTTGTAATCCCTTGTGTATTATACCCGTATATTAACTCATAAATTTGAAACTTTAAATGTTTATATCTTATAAACAAATAAAGTTATATTAAAAATTCAAATTCCATTTACTATTAAATTAAAAACTCAAACATATTATTAATTTCAAAATATGTGTTCCCATTTAAAAAAACAAAGTTGACACCCTTACCAGACATAAGGGATGAAATTAAAAAGTATTACATAGTTAATAATTCAAGAATGATGTGTAACTAAAGATAATTGAAAAAAAATGTGTTAATTTATTATTATTCTGTAAGTAATTGAGTGGGTTATGATAAAAAAATCACCCTGTATATTTTTTAATTATGACCCTTCATTTGCCCACATTAGAGGTTACAAAATGATAACTTTTTCACAAAAAATTAACTTCTTAAACTTAAATTTCAAAGCGTTCCAAGTATACTGACACTTTTATATATATCTTAATAATAATAATAAAAGGAAATAGGAGTTGATGTTGCTTTTGTAATTATGCACCAATTTCTTAGAATTGAACACATCTACAGATTTGCATTGAAGCAATTCTTATGACAGTGATTTTAATCATTGTCAGATATCATCTATACTTGTCCCACTATCCCACGTCCTTACTGTGCCGCGACCTCACTATACTATCGTTTTTTTATGTAGTAATCTATTTATTGGCTATTTTAAATTACAAATTTGGAGGGAAAATGTTGTAAAAGAAGATTATGTTTTAAGTATGATTTATGTATAATGTAGTAATAAAATGAATACAATGAACAGTAAAATTATTTTTTTTCAGCTCCCAATCATTTAATTTTATTAGTTATAATTTATTAATAAATAAAAATTTCGAAGAATCATCCTAAAAATCAAATATTTTATAGAGACTTGTACACTGTAAAATATATAATTGATCTACATATCAAATTTTTTTAGTATATAAATTATCTTATATGCATTAGTAGAACACCCATCTCTTTTTTGAACTTCTACTTCTTTTTTCCTTAACATTTATTTCCATATCTGTTCTTACAGCGTAATCCAAATAATATGTAAAACTTCATAATAAATAAATCAACCGGTTCTGTGAATGAATTTAAAATTTTTCAATCAATCCGTTATTTTGTTTTTCTTATAGAAACAATAAATTCCTATAGTATAATGATGGTAAAAAAAATTAGATAGTAAAATGTAAAAATATCGAAAAAAAAACAATTTACTACTATAAAATAATAAATTTATACGACCCTTCGTTTCACTTAGTAATCTAAAATCATAAATTATTTACTTTTTCTGTTATCTTGAATAATATTTTTACAGTTACGTAAATAAAGAAGCGCCACTGAAAAATTCCTACTATCAAAAAATTTTCACACTAGTACATCACTACGAGCCTTTACTTTAAACTATAGTTTAAAGTAAAAAAAAATATCTAATATAAATTATTAAGCTATATGATAGTTGTTCACTGTTCCAATTAGTTGATAGTATTTTTTTAATATATGATAATTTAAGCTTCAAAAAATACTATAAGTTACATAAAAAATATTATTTATAATAGTATTCAATAGTTTAAATCATTACTACTAAAAACAATTAATAATAATCAATATGACGATGTCGGTAACGCGGCAGTGTTTGGCGCGCACTGCCTCGGGTTCGAAATTCGGTCACGGGCCGCTTCATTTGTCAAACTAGAGATCAGTTTGGTAATTTAAATCACCACCCCTCTCTCCGGCGACCGACTAACCACCCGTCTCAAAGTATACATAAATGACTAAGAAACCTCCTCCTTCTTCTTTGGAGGAGATCGCTATGGCCCTTAATGGGCTAATAAAGCATATAAAAAAAATAACCAATATATTGTCAATATAAGTTATGTATAAAATTAAAACAATATTAAAAATATTAATTTAAAACTAAAAAAATACTAATAATATTTAACTCAAAAAGCCACTAAAATTACAAAAATATCGCGAATATGTATTTTGGGAATAATATACCATTATTAACAGTAAATATAAAATGACACCTTGACCGAACAAAAAACTGTAATTATATACCCTCAGTGACCTTATCACTAATTAATATTATCACAAAGCGTATTAAGTTTAATAATGCATTATTTAGTGAGCCAAGATCCCCATTAATTAAATTGTTCTTATTTTTAAGTAAGAAAAATAAAACACAAATAAATTTCTATTGCTTCCATTATATTAAGTTCTTTGTAAATGGGATTTTTTGGCTAGAATGTTAGGTATGTGTTTACCGCTGATAATGGTAATATTGTTCCCGAAATAGGTATCTGTGAGATATTAGTAATTTTCAGTGACTTTTTAAGTTAAATATTATTAGTACTTTTTCGTTTTCAACTAATATTTTTAAAATAGTTTTAATTTTAAATAATACTAGACACAAGTGATCAATTTTTATTATATCATTATAAGTTATTGTGGATCATTTTTTTTTTTATATAATTTTCTAATAGAATAGTTAAACGTTATGATGCCATAAAAAAATATAAAACATTTTAAAATAAAACCTTTTTTTTTTTTTTGTATAAAGGACAAATATAAAAATACCAAATAATTGTTAAATTAAAAATTATATAAAAAAAAGAGTATTCTTAAAAATATCATTACATATCTTTTTTTAAAGTTATTGAGTGGTTCATGATAGAAGAACCATCGGTAGAGTAATACATTTTCATAAATTTAATGGTAACTTATCAGTATAATAGGAAAATCTTTTTTAAGTAAGATAAATATTAGGATTTCATAATTACAAATAGGAGTAATAAAAGTATATTAAAATTGTATTGTTATTGCTCTCGTGAGATTTAAACTCTATTACTTCAAAATTATAGCTGACCTAGTCACATCTTGAAAAACTATCAAAACTAAAATGGTAGTTTAAATTGCTCCCCATAGAACAATTTTATCTCATACTTTTTCAAAAAGTCACACATTCTTATTTACACCTATTACTCTATTGTTCTATATACTTTTTAATTTTTCTGCAACATTTCCGAGCATATTTATATTTTGAGTGTGTACTCTTAAAAATGTTGATAAATTAATTATAGAATATTGATATAGTAGAAAATATTATGCATCAACTATTTTTAAAACATAAATTTTCAAAATTTCCCTTTTTAAAGCAAAAAATAATTTTAAATTAGATTGTGCAATGAATAGAAATGGAATTAGTAGATTCAGTAAGAATAAATAAATATATGTTTTTTTTTTCTTAGAAAATTTACGATACATAGATATTTTTCTTTAATAGACTAAAAAAATTCTAAAATAACTTTAAAACCTTTTCGTTACTTAATAACTAATAAAAATTCTAATGATTTTAATCCTTTCTAATTCAAATAAACTTTCTATGAGTGATAATTGTAATCTATTGAGTTGTTGGTGTTGTAATGTGTTAAAATTAATTTACAGCGCCGTTATTTATAAGGATTTAATTATCTACTGTTTCCGCTTGACCCATTTAATTTGAAACATCTTTTTCTTAATTGAATGTGCAATCAACCATGTAAATATAAATTTAACTTTGTAAAATATGATAAAACGGTTTTACATTGCAAAATGTATGCACGAAAATTTGTTGACACTAAGGCCATATTTTAGTAAATAGGGTTAAAATATGTTAAGTTTGTCAAGATTCAGAAAGTGTGATAAAGAAATGGTTTATAATTAATTATTTCTCTCCATATTTAATATATATAAAGTATTCCCATAGAATTACTTTGAAATTAATAATATTAAAAATAAATCAAAGCTGTGTAAAGTTTCTTTACACACACAATCGATATAAATGAAGTGATAGGTCAAATTTATGTGTCCGGTTTTCCGCTTTTTGGTATTACAGTGAGCCATTCTGATTTATCATTTTACATGCATTAACGCTTAACCAAGTGAATCGTTACAAAGTAATGTACTGTAATGTAAGTTTGGTAGATCAGCAGTGTAAATGGGTATAATCTATAACAATTTACAGTATCATCATAAATATAGCAACTGTCCAATTATGATTTATTCTTATAATTCCAGAAAAATATTTTTTCCAATTAGAAATTTTTTATTATTACTGTTTCTATAATTAAATTTCAGACATAATTTCTTTTAGAAAATGTCATATGATCTCTCATACATGATGTAATTTACCATGTTATGAGATTATAAATACAATTATTATATTATTTGTACAAATCCGTACCATCTACAAAATTTACATTTTTAATTATTTAAATGCACGTTGTTAGTGATATGAATAATATAATAATATTAAAAAAATAATATAATGTATATTTTTGAACTGTTTAAGATACAAAATCGCTCAAATATAAAAAGAAAAGTATATACTATATACATCTATTAGACACATATTCATTAGAGTGTTTTTTGGAAGTATTATTTTCATGTTCAGATCTAAATCTGTAATAGTTTCAACTAAACCGAATTCCAACTTCAATAAGTTTTAATTAAATTAACCTGAAAATAAGTACATACAATTTAATTTATATAGGTATTTAAAAAAACAAGAAATTTACGAAAATATAAAGTTAGTAAGGGGTATAAGACTGATAGCTAACACTATACTCATGTATGTTGAGTTGCCGTTTAATCCGTTTTATTTTTACAGAATACACAATTTCAAAAATATAATAAATGTTTTTTTTTAAATTATGTAAAAATAAAAATAAATACATTACGGAATTATATATTATTAAAGTCTATACTTAGTAAGAATTTTTTTTTTCAGAAACAAAAAAATATCACCTTTATAAATAATATATCTGTACATTACACATCATGTATACAAATCTTTTGTATATGTATATATATATTATTATCTAAAATCAAAAGTTTTTTTGAAGGGTAACCTGAAAATTTTGAGTTTAAAATCTTTGTTTCATTCACCAAGTACGACTATTCACTAGTATTTGACATTGCATGATAGTAATTTGATTAATCAAATAATACATTATAATACATTATATACCAATATTTTATATTGGTATTCAAGAACTGAACTCATACGTTCTCTGATCAGTATTGTTACGTTAGACAAAAATAATAACAAATAATTTTAAATATCTTAATGAAAAATGGAAAACACTAAAAAAAGTTTTCAAAATGATTGCCACTATGAGTTTTGCGTTCTATGCATGTCAAAAGTTGAACTATCATATTTTTTTTTTTGTACTATTTTTTTGATGTCGATACAGTAAATATAAGTAATATTTTTAGTTGACAACTTTCAAATTTATAGAAATATAAATTTAACACCTGTAATTGGTAATTTTATACTGGCTAGTATTATTTATTTAAATGAATAATGATTAATTTTTAAGAAAACTATATTTAAAAAATCATAGCGTCATATATTATTTTTGATACTATTTATTAAATTTATTCTGATTTAGCTTTTCCTTGTAAATGACCATTTTCTTAAAATTAACGTTGATTAATCAATTATTTATAACATTTTGTTATTGTAAAATTTGAAGGATATCAAATGCTTTGTAAAATATTTATTTATAAGTAAAATAGTTTATTAGTAAATGATGTCTTTACCTATCATTAGATATATATTTTTTGTAAATATGACCCTTTATCAGCCCACAGGGGGGGATTTAGAATGACAACTTTTTCACAAAAAATTAACTTTTTCAACTTAACTTTTGAAAATGTTCCGGAAGGTCTGACACTTTTATATATATCTNAATTAACTTTTTCAACTTAACTTTTGAAAATGTTCCGGAAGGTCTGATACTTGATCCAACTATGCCACGTCACCACTGTGCCGTGACCCACCTGTACTAGGTATTTTATAGTTTTAGAACACAAAATGATAGTTCCAAAATAATTAAAAATTTGATATTATTTAAAATTTGTTAACATTAGTAATGCTTATTTATCAAATTAAATTGAGAATATTTTTATTATTAAATAATACATTTTAATAGTATATTTTATAGCGTCGCGCGTTGTTGTGAACTCGAAAAAAAGGACATTCAATAAAATAGAAAAATTCAATATACATTTGTCTTATTTTTAAACTACATAATTTTTATCGTGATAACATTTCAAAGTGCCGTTTTATTTATACTTTACTCGGGTGCACTATTCACAATATCACATATCGTAGGCAGATGTACTATGCCAAAAACCTTTGCGTAATTGTACTCAACAACTTCCAAAGTTAAAACAAATAAACGGACATGCATTCACTTTATACATTAAATTTAACTATTGTTTATTAAATAGATAAAAAATAAAGCCATGTAATACCATATTAATTAATTAATTATATCAATAAACAAGATATAAAAATTATTAGTTTTATAATAACAACCTTTGATTGGAATTATTTGAAATATAATCGAGTAAGTTAATCGTATGTGTTCATTAATGCACAGACGTGAAAGAGTGATTTTAATAAATACTTATTTTCATTAGGCGTAAGATATTTATTTAATAACCAAATAATATTCAACTCGAGATGTTTCCAAAATTAAAATTTGTTTTATTTTTTGTTGTTTTGATTATTTTTATATCTTCAACGTACGCATTTTCTAAAGGTAATACAAATGATTTTTCAAAAAGTAATAATAATAATTATATATATATATATATGTAGTTTCTATTTTTTCAGAATCCTTTTTTTAGTAGAGAGTTACAAAAATTAATAAAAATATTATATATAACGTACATAATGTATATATTATACAATACATTATGTACAAAATTGTTTTATGAAGTAGTAAGCAGTATACCTAAATTTTATTTATAATTTTAACGTTTGAAGTTTATTATTATTTGTTTTTTAGAACTAAAAAATAGACTTTATAAGAATGTCAATAAGAATATATATTGTATATATTCCGTTTTTTTTTTCAAATAAATACACCTACAATTAACACTAAGTACGTTATTTAAGCCCGCAAATTATTTCATTATGCTATTATTTTGAGTTGAATTATTTATGTTTATCTGACACTCTTTGAAACTACATTACTAAAAATACACTACTATGTTCATAAATTTTCTATTTCAAGTATCATTTGCTAAATTATGTTTTTTATAGTATTCATGACTATTATATATCAACATAATAAAGTCATTATGTTGATACTTTAAAACAGATGAAAAACATTCTGGATCAATTACTCGTATATGTTTTTATCAATGAAATGTTATAAAATACATATTTTAATTTAAGTTATACCATTTTTCAGGTGATTGTGAGTTGCCTCGTGATGTAGGACCATGTTATGCTTACATGCTAAAATATTATTTTGATGCTGAAACCAAAACTTGTAAATCATTTACTTATGGAGGTTGTCATGGAAATAACAATCGCTTTGATTTAAAAAGTGAATGTTTAGCTGCTTGTAGTTAAATTGATCTTTTAAAATTGTTTATTTATATAATTAACATAAATAAATTATGAAAAANAACGTACATAATGTATATATTATACAATACATTATGTACAAAATTGTTTTATGAAGTAGTAAGCAGTATACCTAAATTTTATTTATAATTTTAACGTTTGAAGTTTATTATTATTTGTTTTTTAGAACTAAAAAATAGACTTTATAAGAATGTCAATAAGAATATATATTGTATATATTCCGTTTTTTTTTTCAAATAAATATACCTACAAATAACACTAAGTACGTTATTTAAGCCCGCAAATTATTTCATTATGCTATTATTTTGAGTTGAATTATTTATGTTTATCTGACACTCTTTGAAACTACTATGTTCATAAATTTTCTATTTCAAGTATCATTTGCTAAATTATGTTTTTTATAGTATTCATGACTATTACATATCAACATAATAAAGTCATTATGTTGATACTTTAAAATACATAAAAAACAAACTGGATCAATTACTCGTATATATTTTTATGAATAAAATGTTATAAAATGCATATTTTAATTTAAGTTATACCATTTTTCAGCTGATTGTGAGTTGCCTCGTGATGCAGGAATTTGTCATGCTTACATGCCAAAATATTATTTTGATGCTGCAACTAAAACTTGTAAATCATTTGTTTATGGAGGTTGTGAAGGAAATAACAATCGCTTCGATTTAAGAAGTGAATGTTTAGCTGCTTGTAGTTAAATTGATCTTTTAAAATTGTTTATTTATATAATTAACATAAATAAATTATGAAAAAAAGTTGAAATATTTTTTATTTATTGATATTTATCACTTTAATATAACTATGGCAAGCTATTATACTATCCTCTCTTAAAAATATTTTTTATTATAAATATTTACAAAAATCAACTTTAAACGATTAACAAAATAGGTAAAATATGTCATTTTCCTTATTTTTAACATAATTATTAATAATCAAAATCAGTATTAGTTTAAAAAAAATTTTTTTTTCTTTTAATAATTTTTTTATATGTGATTAGTAATAATATAAAAAATTAGAAGTAATAGAAAAAGTCCAACAGCATATTTGAAAACAACGCGAAAAGTTGATTTAGAAAAGTATATTTTTGCTTCTGATGAAAGTTCCTTGTAGTCCAGTGCATTTATTTATAGTAACAAACAGTTTTTATTGAAAAATATTGTATCCAGCCTTTTAAATTTTTATACACGTAAAATTAAAGCAAAATATAACTTCTTTATTATTTTTATAATTTCTCCGTATAAATTACAATATTAAATTATTGAATATCAATTTCATACTAAATTTAATAATTATAATTAGTATTTGTTCATATAATATATTTTAAAATCAAAGAACTACTAATCAGGATATAATCAAAAATATAAGAGTTGATGTTGCTTTTGGAATAATCCACCAATTTCTCTAAATGAAACACTATCTACAGATTTGCATCGAAGAGTTTCTTATGATAGTGATTTTACTCACTGTCAGATATCATCTATACTTGTCCCGTCTATGCCTCGTCTACACTGTGCCTCGACTCCACTGTGCTACCGTTTCATATAATTAATGTTGATTAATCAATTATTTATAACATTTTGTTATTGTGAAATTTGAAGGATATCAAATGCTTTGTAAAATATTTATTTATAAGTAAAATAGTACACTTTAATGTATCTATGGCGAGCTATTATATTATCCTCTCCCAAAAATATTGCAATTGTATATATCAACTCGTACCTATGAATAATTCATTTTCTTAAAAATAATAAAATGTTGTATATAATTGTTTTTTATTAAATATTTATAAATGGAATCTCTAAATACTAAAAACCAAAATATTAACAAAGTAGTTAACACTTTAAAATTAAAAAAAAAAATTTCGAGATATTCCTGACTTAAAAATAAAAAAAACCCAGCACAGTGAGGTCGAATTATAGAAGAGACGTGTCAATGTTGGGACATAGAAGTATAAATGATATCTGTCAGTGATTAATATCATTGTCATAAAAAACGCTTCTATTGAAATATGTTAAATTTCATAATTTGTATAATTTTAATTTTACAATTTCACTCGAATATTAAATGCTAGTTAAATTAATTGCTTAATTGAAAATAACGTTTTTCTTTTTTTTTTGCTTTGACATACTTTGATTTCACTTTGTAGATATAATTGAGTTTTTTGTAAACCACATACCAAAAGAAAGCTTATTATCTTTAGAATACTCTATTGAAATTTCATTTAGATTAGTATTTAAAAGTAAAAGTTACATTAATTTTAAAATGCAGATTAAAATTGTTGAAAATTTAATTTTTTAAATAACGTGATTTTGAGATATTTTTTTTATTTCTAAAAATGAAGGGATTTTTCATATTTTTGGAACTAATAAATTCAACAATATTGAAATTGAGTTCTTTTGAAATATTGATCAATAAAATCGGCCCAGTAAATGTGAGAATTTTCTTAGACAAACATAACAAAAAATACACACTATAATAAAACAAATACCTTCTCAGCTTCGCATCGAAGCTAAAAATTTATGTTCTTAAAAAAACGATATCGATTTCGCCAAAACTCAATAAAGTCTGACGTGTAAAACTACACCATTGTCTATCACTAATGATTACTCAATAGAACATTTATTAATTAAAAGTAGTATTTAAAATACTTAAGGTTATTAAATACAATAAGTAATATGTGTTGATAACATATTATCAATAATATTATTAATTGAACTGCATCATTTTTAAATGTTTAATTAAGAGATTAAAAAAAATTATTCATTAATTTAAAAAAAAATAGAGTTTTTCTAATTAACAAAACATTTTTATATTTCTTCGGGAAAATAGTAAAATAAAAAAATTAAGTTCCAAATGGTATTTAACTAATTATTTGCTTTCTGATGAAATGATACAGTTTTAAGTTTAATTCTTCTTTAAAACTTAAGTTACTTTTAAAAGTTATACTTGTTAATTTCTTTAAATAGGTATTTATATTTATTAGTATATATACTCATCCGTAATCATTCAATTAGAGTTTTCCTAGATCTCCATTAAAAGTTTTTCTGTAGAATTAGTTAAAATATAAGTGCTCATTGAATAATGTTGGTTAAAACAAAGTTCTGAGAACCTACAGAGATAAGAAGTATTTATCGGATTACTATCTTGCGTCAAATACATACTTAAGCGGATATTACAAATTTAGAGAAGTTGCGGAAAACTTAAAATCTACCAACCGAGGCGCATTTATATTTTAAGTGTCAAAAACCACTTTGAGAGGACTGCTTTTAAACGTTTTAACAATAATAAACTCAAAATTACAGTAAGTAGAGTAGTCACTTACTTATTTTATAAGAAGTAAGTGTTATATTTCTTAGAATTCCAACAGAAATATTTATAAATATTTTATTCAACGATCGTGGCATTTTATTTTGTAAATCTTGATATATAGAAAATACCTTAACGGTCTTAAATAAAGGTATGTGAAGGATGAGTGATTTATTAGTTTCTGATGTTGAAGGAATCGAATATTGTAGTGACGTAGCATTGTGATTATCTAGAGGGTAGATAATAGTAATAATTAAATATCTGTTTGAAACTTCTACTGGGCCTTAACGTTGAAACTGAATTAGCAATCTAAAGCTTGAGACTGGATTTTATGCTGCAGTAATTTACGATGCTATAACCTCAGAGTTTATTCTCATCGCGTTTTTTATTTTGTCACGGTACCTTTATTCTTATAATCCAATCAGGATAAAATTATTTAGCATGCACATTGGAAAAGCATTTTTTTTTATCTAATGTTCACTGGTGCTCTTATACACCTTTGTAATCTCAGTAACAGATAAGCAAGACAAAAAAAAAAATAGAAAAAATAAAGAAAAATACATGAAATGAATTTCACACTAACTGACTATTGGTTACTTACTGGGTTTAATTCCAGTTTTAATTGTGTATAGGTTGAGTGGATGAAAAAAAAAGTAATAATAATATCTCTATCTCGTTTGGGCTCCATCGTGTATTTCCAATATAGTAATCATGGGTTCTTTTTGTTCCTTCTATTAACTGTTTCGCTTTTTTCAAACGTTTACTTTATACTTATCATCTATCTTGAGTAATATATTTTGTTCCTGTTTATAATTTATATGCAAATGGTAACATCTTCTTAATGGATAAACAAGGAGAAAATTTCTCTAAAAATTCATGCCGCACGTTGAAATAAAATTCGTATTATACAAAACTAAAATGTTTACTAACGTAATGAAACTTTGCAAATATACATTAAAAAAAAAAAATTATGACTTGTACAAATTTGCTACAGACTATTTATGTTTGTGGTGATACAAGTGTGCACTATCGATCGAGCAGTTATTTTCTTTACGACCTAACTGTTAAAACATATCACGTCCCAAAAAATATTATAATTCTGTTGTAATATGTTCTTCTGTGGCACCTGACCGTCAAAATAAGATTTATTATTAGAGAAAAATGAATGTTTTTTCTCTTAGCGCTTTTGACAACTGCAAACGAAATCATGACATTATATAGACATTTTATTTTCAGAATTTATTATAAGCATTACATCTAAACTAACATGTGATGCTAATTATTGAGGTATGACATTATTGCACTACTTATTGCAAATAATAATAAATATTATTATTATTATCAATAATTTTAATTTAAGTTATTCGTATCAAATAAAAAGTATATTTAGGTATCCAGAACGTATAAATACATAATGGTTCAAATAAAACATTGAAGTTTACACAGGAAATTTTCGGGCGTATGTCTTACATTTTACGATGTATATTTTTATATGTGAAAATCGATAGTCCACTCAATCAATAAACTTTGATGTTTGTGTGCATAAGAAAATAAAAAAGCTTGGCCTAGTAACGAATATATCAAATTTAAAAATAAGATTGAGTCCCCACCAATATAATCACATCTAAAATTGTTCTATTAAAATCCCATTAGATCAAATGAGTTATTTAATTGGCCCCGTATCATTTGCAATTGTCTATAAGCTCTATAAATATATCACATTTAATTAATACCTCACCGCACGTTGGATGCATCTTTGTCACCCGCTGCAGACGGTTTTAGAACCCAACACCAATACACATAATTTTACCTTTGGATTATTGTTACATATTAAAATCTTTAATCATGGTAAGTATACATTTTACCAAATGTCTTATTTTTTCAAATGAAGTAATATAATATAAAAATAAATGAAATAATTATGCTAATAGTAATATACTTATTCGCAGTCGTGGATGGATCCACCTCCCCAAGCATTCGAAATGCAAGAAGGAATTACTTTAAGTAAAGATCAACTTAAAGGTATATTACATACATAGTTTTGGAACACTTTATTTGACTATTTTAATATTTTCAATTATTATTTAGATAAATTATAAGATCTAATTCTGTTGTTTAGCAACACAGTTTTTAAAATCTTTTTTTCAAATAGAATTATATTTTCAGTTTTAAGAAAAGCATTTGACACATTTGACACCGAGAAAAAAGGACGAATTACATGTGACAATATCAATACTATATTGGACATGTTGGGTCATGCCACTGACGCCGGAACTATCAGAAATATCGTCGCAGAAATCGATCACCAAGGTACTATTATTTTTAATGTTTGATATCTATTTTGAGCATAAAACATCTTTTATATACTAATTGTAATTCGGTTATTGTTAAAGAGGAGTTTTGAGGTTATTGGTTTTGTATGGAATTTATCTTATTGGATTCTTCCAGTTATACAACTATTGGCAATTTACAAATTATTGTAGCAAAGGCTTTCTAGGCGCCTTACAATAAATTCGCCCGCATTCTTTCCTCGAAAATGTTATCTAATGTGATGTAAAAAAAAATATTGCTTAAATAAATAAATTTACAATATGTTTGATTAAAACACTTGTTAAATAGCGATATTTTTTTATCAAATCGATCAAAAATTATAATTTTTATTTATATATCTAATTAACAACTTAATTGGAAAATTAACTTAATGTTTGAACACTAAATATTAAAGGTACCAAAAATTATTTGTAATATTCACAGTAAACTGATAATAATCAGTTTACTTTGAAAAAAAAATTATTTATTAATTACTTTGTATTTTATAAATAGAGTCACTACTTCAGTTACTGAACACCTTCCAATAAGTAAACACCATCGGAATTATTTGAAATTTTAGCTCTCTAATATCCAAATAAAGTAATTTTGTTAATTTGTAATCTATTTTAAAATTTAAAAGTCTGATGTTGACATGTAAACATGCTATGAGAGATTAATATTTTTTTCAATCACAGCTTCTCAGTTTCAGTTTCTGAACTTAAGTTTAATTTACTAAGCTTGTTTTTCTTATATCATTAAAAGTATTAAAATTTAAATGAAGATGAAATTATTAGTTTTACATTCAGATACAAGAACATAATTCATAATAATAAATCTAATCAATACATAAAAGTTCAATAAATCCTTACTTGTTTGATAATTAGACGTTTTGTATTATTTGTGTAATTGTTTCATTTATTTTTGGATGCTTTAGTCTTATTTTGGATAAAAAATTTAGGTACAATTAATTTTCTTACAAAAAAAAAAAAAAAATTATTTAAAAGTCTCATATATAAAATTTAATTTACTAAATTAAGAAAGGGAGAAGATAAAAATTTTATCTTATCCTTTTTTTTTTAATTGATAAATAAATCAATGTAACAAATTTAGGAAAAATGGTAATCTTTATACATCATTTATTAAACGACCATTGATTCTATGCTAATAGTATCTTAAAATCACAATAGTACTTTTAATTTACTTATAATAAACACCGAATAAAGTTTATAAATTAAATGTTTGATCGATCATATCTCATAAAATGTATTTTTAATCAACACTACGATGATGGTTATTGTTTAACTGACAGCTCTTTTTCGATATTTTGGTTTTGTTAGAATTTAAAAATTAATCGGTGCACAACACATAACATTTTCAAAATAAAATGTTTAAATGAATCAAATTATGAATTTTTGATGTATTATATACAAGTAATAATTTTATAGTGTTTTGAGGTTTGTTGAACAAGCAAAAACCTAATGTACAATAACATAAAATGAAAATTAGTGATTATTTACAAAAGTACTATAAGCAAGCTTGATTAGAAAATAAACGATACTCTATAAGAGTCCACAGCAAAATGTATTACAATCTAAACAATTATTTGAAAGTTGTAATATTTATCAAGTTATGTTAAACGACCCTAAAGTAATAATGAGTAAGGGACAAAACAAATATTTTGTACTTCAACAAAATGTAAATGAGAATTAAAGTTTATAGTTCATCTTCATAAAAATCAAAAACCAATTTAACTTATTACTATCAATTTTAATGCATTCTACTTGGCTATTATGATGAAGTTGAAATTTTAAGTACTGTTGCTAAAATTATAATAATTACTGTAGCAAATTTTTATTCTGAAATTGTCTATACAACGTTTTTTTTAATTTTATATTTTTATTTATTTTAAATAATTTACTAACTATATATATGTAAAATAAGCTAAAAAGCTAGTGTCGCTCATCACGGTATAAATTTGTATAAATATACAGTACTATCATATTTTTATTTCAATTTTTTTAATTCAGCGAATAAAACTCCAAAGTGTTATTTAAGTACCATATTTATTATTTAAGTGTCCGGCGGAGATGAATGCTCTAAAAAAAAAATGTGCATCATCAAACCTTTAATACATTTTTAATGATTAAAAAAATGAAAAAACAAGATTAAATCAGTCAAACTCGAATTCTTGGAAGTATATGAATTTATTTTTAATTTAGTTTACTAAATTTAGAGCTTTCCAGTTTTATCTTTATAAATTATTCAACTAAAAATACACAAATGTATTTATCATACTTTGAAATGTTGTTTCAATATTACTTTATATACTTAAAGATTAAAATTTGTATTAGTGAAATCATTATTTTTAATTTTTAATAACGAAAAATTTAATAAATATAATCAATAACAAACTATTATAATAAAACTACTGCTCTTAATTAAGTGAAAAAGCTTTAAATAGATAGGTTGAAATTAAATACTGAACATGTTCGCCTAAAAAATATTACAACAAAAAAATGTAAATATTATTCTGAATGACAGGAACCGGTACTTTATCATTTGACGATTTCTGCACGTTAGCTTCTAAGTTTATGACAGAAGAAGAAGAAGATAGTGAAGCGATCAAAACTGAGCTACGAGAAGCATTCAGACTTTATGACAAAGAAGGTAAAATGTGAAAATATTTAAAGTATAAGATTTAGTAAAACTAAACCATCACTTTTATTCGGTATTACAGGGAACGGATATATTACTACAGAAGTTTTAAGAGAAATACTTTCGGAACTTGACAATAATATGTCCGACGAAGAACTCGATCAGATGATTGATGAAATTGACGCAGATGGATCTGGTACAGTTGATTTTGATGGTAAGTTGCGGGTGTTATATAAACATATGTCTATGATTAATTTAAAAAACTGAAATTAAACAATAAAGAAGAGAAAATTGCCTTTAAAAAATTAATTATAAAAAACGTTCAATTGTAATAGTTTGGCCAAGTAAATACTAATTCTAAAACATATAGTACCCGGGTGATATTTTAAATGTGTCATCGGTAAAACTTTAGTATATAAAGAGCTACTTTATTTTCATACTCCTGCAATATAAAAAATGAATAAAATTCGTGTCTTGTTTGATCATTTGCGGATCACGATTGTATAAATTCCATCTAGCATATAACTTGAACACAGAATGACTGTTAGTTTCTAAATTTGTCTGATAAAATCAATTTCTTCAATTCAACAATAAATAAGATTTTAGAAATGAGACGAAACACAAAAATGTGTTGTCTGAAAACACGAATTGTGTCTCAATAAGTATTTTTAAAACATAACTAGGACATCGATATAAGGGTGAAAATGTAATTATAAAATATACATTAAGATTGCGTATGAATTCGTGTGTTATTTACTTATCAAATAATCGAAAATATTAGTTACATCATTTAACAATAAAAATAAAACTCAATTATAATCCAGCTGAAAAAATAGAGGTATTCATATATTTTAAATAAAATGATTGTGCATGGACAAAAAGTTCAAAAATCGTATTATTATGTTTTATACTTAATAAAACATTTTTATATAACCTCAAATGTAATTTAATTTTCAGTTTTAATTTCGGTAAAATCTAAGAAAGTTTTATTTTTAAAATTACATTGTAGAATTTTTACTTTCTTCGGCGTACGCAATCTTATTCGCTGTTTTCCTAACCATCACGGCTTTGGCGTGAAATAAAAATTAAATACCCGCCGGCATGAATGAAATCTTGGTGTAATAATACATGTAATATAAGATAGAACCTACACAATATATCCTATATTTATTAGTGGGAATTGTTTTGTTTTTTTTTAATTTTTACTTCCTATAACTTTCAAAAATCCTCACGTGTAGTACTATAAAGAGCAACGTACGTAAACTAGTGCACTGAGCAATTAATCAAAACTCTAGCGAATATTTCAATCACGTGAGCCATAAACTGAAAAGTGAGCAATTGCAAAACAACCTCATACTGTAACATGTATTTAACACAACATGTATGTGTCTCATAAATATAATGTTAAAGTTTATTATATTAATTAATGGTATGCTAGTGTGCACTGTGCATGTCAGCTGTGGTATAAAATATTATTTTTTATATGTCTCGAACAGTTGATTAATAATAATCAAACGAAATAAAAATATTTGATGGTAACGGTTTCGCAGGATCTAAATGAAAGTACCTTCATTTAGATGAAATCTAAATGAAAAGTACCTTCATTTAGTTCCAACAGTTCAATTAATATTAATTATGTATTAGCATTAAACATATCCATATATAAACATCATATTAAACATAAAACATTTAATGCATTTGTTAAATAATATTATCATTGACAATCAAATTAGTAGTTTCAATATTTCATAGAATATATTAAACACGTAATGGTGAGAATGGTGCTAAACTTTAATCTGAATTGTAAGCAAAAGTTTTTGAGTTTGAATACTATTTCAATTTTATTTATTTCTATACGCATTGAAAATAATAGGGGAAAAAATCAAAGTTTAAATACTATATTGGTAATTCAAACATTTTATTGTTAAAACAAATCAAATTTGTGAATTTACTTTGACACTGGGTAGTTGGTTTTTGTAAAGGGTAAGATAAATATATTTTAATTAAATACAGTAAAACTTAATAAATTTCATGCATTTTTATTGAAAAATTAATAAAAGTGAAGTAAAAATGCATAAAATAATGATTATTACTTCATATAAAAAGTTTACAAAACACAGGAACAATTTATTTAAATTGTAATAAATTTAAATAATATATGTTTATATATTTTTTCTTAAAAAATATTTTTAATTGACCATAAATGATAAATGACGTGTAAATTTAAGTATAACATACCAACTTACTCAGAGATAAACTATTTCCAACTTTCAAGTCACCCTCCCATAATAATTTTTATGGAAAAAAAATATAAATATTTATTATTTAATTACACATTTTTAAAAGTAAATAGGTTTCCAAGACTATGTTTTCAAAGTAATTGAGCAACGATAATATGTTAGGAATTAGCGCAATATATTAAAATGTTTAATAAAAATAACAAATATTAGTAAGATGATTTATTATCAAAATAACAGTATCCGTAATACCATAGAAATAGTTTTTTATTAACCCGATTTTTATATTTTGCATCAATAAATTATTTAAGGTATGTTAACTTTTCCGGATTTTCCCTACTAATGAAAAAAAATAATAATATAGGGGAGATACATGTAAGCCACCCATTGGTTAATATCGCTCACCTGGTATCTTGATATATATTACAATTATTTTAGTAGATATTGTTTAAATTCAATTCATAATTCATTTACAGTTAGTCTATGTAAAAGCTTAATTTATTTCAGTTTTTATCTTGCATTTATGATAAATTTTTTATTTAGCGGTTCTTCACCTAAAAATTCATTGACAGTATTTAAATTTTAATCAATCAACAATGATTTTATTTCAATAATCAAAGTATTACATAACAGATCGCAATACTGTTTTTAAGAATAAATCATTATTTAACATCTATTAATATTAATTTGCGAGTAATTAAAAATTTTATAAAGATTGCAATATCAGGTAATGAAGCTCACGATAATATCTTATTAAGTCAGCCTTTAATTTGATAACAAAGAAGATAATGAATAGATCAATGCATCAGGAAAAAAAATTTAAACAAAATATAATTAATAATAACAAGTAATTAAAAAAAAAAGTAATTATCATCATTTTCATGCAGAAGTTTTATTCGCGATTAAAAATTAAAAGTAGGCAAGTTAGTTTTAATAGATAATTTATCTGATTTGAGTGGTATTACCCATATCTCCTCTGCTATAATAGATTAAATTTGTAAAAAACATTTGAATTAAAAATCAGATAATATTGAAATAATATAAACCATAAAATTCATTAACTTGACACTTTTTGTTTTAAGAATGAATCATTAAAAAGAACATTAGCTCCTGAAATTTCATTGAAATTATAAAGATACTTAAATTTTAGTTTCATAGAAAACTTTTAAGTCAAAATTTCAAAATATCATTTTGTTATTTGTTGTATCCAACAAGAAAATATCCAGCAATATAGAATATCATTTATATTTATGAGACGATTAATTTATTGAAATGTAAACACAAAAAACGGGTGCACTTACTTTTGTAATTTACTTTTCATTTTTTTAATAAGTGTTCATTTGGTGATGTAATATTTCCAGTTCAAGATTTAAGAAAAAAATATTAAATTTATAGGTGTGATTCTGAAAATCCATTTACATACAAAGAAATAAAAAAACCGTACATTTTTACATAAATCTAATTTTTTGTTTGTGAAAAATAAAAAGGTTATTTTTAATTTAACACAATTGATTAATTTCTTTTCTCAAACTTTAAATATAAATTTATTCTGTTATTATTGATGTTTCCAAAAAAATATTTGCCAATTATGAAATATTCAATGTATTGGTTTAATTTAAGTTAACGAAGTTTTTTTACTAGTTAAAAATTTGTTTAACTTTTAGCAACTACAAAGCAGAAATTAAAAAACCCAGCACAGGGGGGTCGCGGCACAGTGGTGACGTGGCATAGTTGGATCAGGTATAATGATATCTGACAGTGATGAAAATCACTATCAAAAAAAAACGCTTCGATGCAAATCTTTAGATAGTGTTTAATTTTAAAAAATTGGTGGATTATTCCAAAAGCTTCATAAACTGCTAGTTCCTTATTAATATCCTGATTAAGAGAAAGTATGTCGAATAAAAAAGAGATTATTAGAAAATAGTATTTCCCATAAAAAAATTATATTGATCAATACACTTTTCAATAAGTTATAGCATTATAATGTTAAAAATGTAAAAAATAAAATTGAGAATTTTCACACAATAATAGCATTTGGTAGCCATTTTCACCTTGAAGATAAAATAAAGTCCGAAATTTTTTTTTTCCATGATAAAGTATATTACATTAGCTTTAATTTAAGATATATATAAAAGTGTCAGACTTTCCGGAACACTTTCAAAATTTAAGTTGAAAAAGTCAATTTTTTGTGAAAAAGTTGTCATTTTGAATCCCCCCCTGTAGGCAGGTAAAAAGTCAGATTTATAAAAAAAATATACCAAATGATAGGTAAAGACATCATGCATCTACAAAAAAAAGAATTATATTGATCCATACATCTTTCGAGAAGTTATAGCATTATAAAGTTAAAAATATAAAAAAGAATTTTTTTACAAAAATCGTATTTTTTTTATTAAGTTTAATGTCTGTTTTCACCATGAAGATAAAATAAAGTCCGAAATTTTTTTTTACCATTATAAAGTATATTACATTAGCTTTAATTTAAGATATATATAAAAGTGTCAGACCTTCCGGAACACTTTCAAAAGTTACGTTGAAAAAGTTCTACTTTCTATATGCATTTTTATGTTTTGAATCCCCCCTGTATTTAGGGAAATGGTCCGATTTAAAAAAACAGTATGTCGAATGAAAGATCTATATAAATACTACTTCTCATAAAAAAATTGTAATGATTCATACATTTTTCAAAAAGTTATAGCATAATAAAGTTAAAAATGGAAAATACAAAATCGAAAATTTTCACACAAAAATAGCATTCGGTAGCCATTTTCACCATGAAGATAAGATAAAGTCCGAAATTTTTTTTTTTCATGATAAAGCATATTACATTAGCTTTAATTTAAGATATATATAAAAGTGTCAGACCTTCCGGAACATTTTCAAAATTTAAGTTAAAAAAATTAATTTTTTGTGAAAAAGTTGTCATTTTAAATCCCCCCTTATGGGCAGGTTAAGGGTTAAATTTATGAAAAAAATATACCAAATGATAGATAAAAACATTAAGCATCTATAAAAAAAAATAATATTGATATGTTTATTTTTGAAAAAGTTATGGCACTTTTAAGTAAAAAAATTGAAAAAATTTCGAAAATTAGCGATTTTTAAATTTGTAATTTTTTTGGAGGTTTCCCCCTTTTACGGGGAACGAGGGAATTTTTTTCAATTTTTAAGGGTAATGTCTTCGACTAGATACGATTTGTGATCTTTTGACGTATC